CCAGGAAGTAATGGCAGAAAGCAGAAAGGTATTTAAGGCATGAGGAACATTAACTAGGCTGGTTAAGCTTTTAGGCTTTCAAGAAGCAGTTCAGCTGAGATCCATTTGGATGAGGACTCAGAGGCTTCCAGTCTGAGGAAACAAGATCAGCTGAGGAATTGGCAAAGTGAGGTAGCTGCAGCTTGTTCTACTTCTCTGATCTTTCAGCATTTAACCCATTACCTGGCTTCAGGTTTGTTTTTATTAATAAGACCTTTTAGAGATTCCTGCTACATACTTCCACATCAGTTCATCATCGAATAAAGTGAGGACAGGAACTCAAACAGGGCAGGAAACTGGAGGCAGGAGCTGGTGCAGAGGGCATGGAGGAGTGCTGCTTACTGACTTGCTCCCCATAACTTGCTCACCCTGCTTTCTTACAGAACCCAAGACCACCAGCCCAGGGATGGCACCACCCAAAATGGGTTGAGTCTGCCCCCATTGATAGCTAATTAAGAAAATGCCCTACAGCAAGAACTTATGGAGGCATTTTAATTAGGGTTCCTTCCTTTCAGATGACTCTAGCTTGTGTCAAGTTGACATAAAACTATCCAGAACAACATGGAGGGAAGGAGGGAGGGAGGGTGGAAGGAGGAAGGAATGAAGAAGGAGGGAGGGAGAGAAGGAGGGAGGAAGGGAGGGAAGGAGGAAGGAGGGAGGGAGGAAGCATTGTTTTAGTTGATTATTCAGTACATGTTCCACACACACCACAAAAAAATTAGTTAAAAAAAATCATCAAACTGATGTGGAGGCTCATATCTATTATAATCCCAGAAACAGGAGGACTGCTGTGAGTTCAAAATCAGCCTGGACTACATAGCCGGTACCAGACCTGCCAGGACTCTACAGCAAGACTGTGGCTCAAAATAAAACAAAAAGATATGGGAAAGGGGCTTCTCATATCCAATACTCTTGGCAAGAACTGGTTTAGGTGCTGACACACGGTTGTATTCTGAGGAATCAGAAGTCAGTACATGGGTAACTTCTGGGAAAACTGCCCAGTTCTCCCCAGCTTCTTACAGATGGCACAGTCCTTTAAACCTGACCTCACAGACCTGGCTCCTGGAGCTTCTTCTTCCACCTTATGATACATAAGCACAGGACAGGACCACCATGGAGAATGGCCTCAGCTAACCCACACTCTGTGCTGTCCTTTCCGAGCCCCCTGTTCTTGCTCAGTGGCATGTTCAGGGCATCTGTCTGGATCAGGACTTCTGTTACCTGTACATAGAAGCTTCTAGGTGATTGGAGATGTCAATGAAAAGTGCTCACTCTGTCAGACATTTCCTCAATTAAGGTTCCCTCTTCCTAAGTGATTCTAGTCTATGTCAAGTTGAGGAACTACTAGGCAGCAAAAGGGCAAAGGAGGAAAAGCAGGGGAACAAAATAAGGCCAGTGAAATTTAGTTAACTTCTATCTATCTGCAATAACAGTACTTTTATAAGCCTAGAGTCAGCATTTACTCTCAAAGACCTTGAGATAAATGCAATGTGTGAAAACAGGTAACACTGCCCTTGCCCCTTACAGCATGGCTTAGGCCAGAGGACTACCTCTAAAGGGGAACAGGGCTCTCTCTTCACCTGCCTCTTCCTCACTCTTAAGAACACCAAGCATGCTTTCTGCTCTGTAAGTTACATGGCTTAGCAGAAAACCCAGGTGACAGCTTCAGAGCTACAAACCTTACGAAGATGAATTACAGAGAAACGCTGCCGCCAGAGGGAAGGAGATGGGACATCTCTCTGAAGGCAGGTGGCCTCCTCACCAGCATCTGAGAAGCCTGAGGGGCAGAGCTGGGCCTGCCCAGGGCAAGGTAAGTTCCACTGACTGCTCCACAAGCTGGATTTAGAGCTGAGGAGAGCAGGTATTCCGAGCATATATAAACATTACCAAAAGGGACTAAGGGATTCTCATTGTTATTTTTCCTTCTAACACTTATTAGTTAGTACAACAAATTACTATACCAAACCACCATGCCAGTAAAATTCATGTCAGATCCACCTAAGAGAAAGCATTGCTTCAACAGAATTTTAATATTCACCTCTGCTAATTAAGCATTTTTATTTTTAACTTTATTTTGGATCTAGGGACAGTGCTCCAGGCCTCAGCTCTGAGTAACTGACACCCCCAAGCCCCAGAGTGTTAAGAACTACAAAGGAGCATAAGTACACAGTAAATCAGTATGTGTGTAAGAGTTGTGTTCTGCACTTACAGGCATCCCAAGAAGCGTACTATTGTCTCTGACATTAACTTGCCTTTTTTTCCCCAGAAATGCCCTCTACCACTTTACTATCTAAATACTATGGTACATAGTAATGTCTTTTTCCAAGTCATAAATGATGAAAGAGTAAAAACCACAGAGAAATTGGAAAAATAAGATCAGCAGCCAAAACAAGCAAGCCAGAGGAAGGGCTGTGAGCTACTGGTTTGGAAGCGAAAACACTGCATGGTGGAGCCACACCTGGAGGGTGACATGCCACTCCATTCCCAAGCCAATCATAAAAACAGCCTCAGAAGCCAGGCTGTGAAGGTTCAAATAGCAGACCTAAGCTTGGCGGAGGCATCAGGCCCCTCCATAGCAAACCTTAACTGTAGAGAGCCTCTGTTGTTAATGGTGGTCATAGTTTAAGAGCATTTTGGCCTAAGTAAGTGGTAAGTTCCACAGAAAATCAACTCACTAAAAAGGAACAGTTACTTGTGCCATTGAAAATATACGTATGCACGATTATCTGCATAACAACTCTAATCTATGTATTTCACTTATGTGATTCTTCCCCCTTATAAAAAGACAATGAGTTCAACAATATGACATGAAAAGTTATAAAAGTAGCAATGATGAAATTTACAATTTGGGGTAGAAATTCTGCAGAAATCAAACACAAAGGAAGATAGTCACTGAAGGCAGCAACAAACTGAGGTGAGGCAACCGAACTTTCTGACAGAGACACTTGGCACATATGTCTCCAGGGGCGTAAGCCACACAGGAGCAGCATTTCACTGAAGTACACAAGTAAAACTTGTCTATTTGTGCCTGGAAATTTCCCTTAAAACATTAACAACTGGGGCAGGTGGGTAATGCATAGAGAGGAAATGGGGGGGTACTTTTTTATGACTGTGGAAGCTGAGTAATGATTAGATGGGGCTCTGCCTACTATCATAAGTTGCAGATGTTTAAATACCTCTAAAACTTAACTTTTCCAAAGAATCGTTAGTAAATAATCACAATATAATACTGTAGTTTTTTAATCAAAAAAGATTAAGAGCTGAAAATATAGCTCTGGCCCTGGACTTAAAGCTTGAACTGCAAAAAAAAACAAAGCACAAGGAGCTGCCTGTCAACTGTGTTACTAGGATGACTCTAATTATGCAAAATGCACCCCCCCCCAATAAAAAAAAAAAAAAACAACACTGCAATGTTTTCTGTGACTGCTAACAAAGTCTGGGGTTAACCCAATTTTCACTTTTTCATACTTTCAGTCCTCTTCAGAGTCTGACACAGAATAAACGAGCATATTTATTTCCTTTAAATAAAAGCCAACACAACTCCTAAAAGCCACATCATTTCACGTTTAACTACTTAGGACTTCTGAGGTAACAGTAATCCAAATAATAGGAGAATGAGGGCAGAAATATCACAGTCATTTAAAAAGTAACCACAGACAACATGAGGTTAAGACACTCTCCTGAGCACACCCCCTGCTGGAGCAGCACAGGCCCACAGGACCCAGCGGAGCAGGGCTGCCGAGATGAAAAGGGCCATTGTGTTCACAAAGCACACAGCAACCCATGAGGCTGCTGAGCACGTGAAATACGGCCAGTGTGATGGAGGAAGTGGGTTTTCAGTTTAACCTTACCAGCACATGTGGCTCCTAACTTCCACACTAGACTGCAGGGCAACCGAGGAGAGCAGTTATCCTATTCATGGCTCTGCGGACCACGCTCCCTCTCCTGCCAACCATCTGGAGTTTACTGAACCACTGCCACACCCCCTCTCCAAATAGCTACTGAATCATTACTTCTAAAAAGATTGTACACTGAGCTTCTAGCACTTTCTCTGAAGAAGTAGCATAAATGAACCCCATTAAGTACTAAGATGCAACTGCACACAACTTTGATACTTGTCTGTTTTCTCAGAGGTGCCCTGATCAGCTGAACAGAGCTGTTTGGTCACCGTCTATCACCACCCCACTCTCTCATTGTTCCTCTTGCAAAAAAGCAAAAAGAAAGTATAATAGTGCAGTTCTAGCAACACCACAGCTTTCCTTATAAGGGTTACTCTAGCAAGCACAGCTTTATGATCAATGACCCCATCGCTGAAAAACAGCATTGCCCATGAGATTTTTGTGCTTATGCTAGCAGAAGGTGTGTGTCCCCTTTCACCTGGGTCACCAGAAAGTTAAAAGTTATCCTTGGGTTACAGATAACCATCTCATGGTGTTAACCCCACCCTTCAGCTTCCAATTTCTGACATGTATGTATTAACCACTGAGATTGGTTCCCAATGCTGTATAGTGAACATTTTTCAAGACCAGCAAATTAATAAAATAGAAAAAACCAATGCAAACTAAGCTGAACAAAATTCCCAGAACAAAAATATCAGAGTGGCTTCTTACCTCTACTGATGTCTAAATTAGACAGCTAAGATACTCTTTTCCAAGTTAAAAAGGAAGGAAGGAAGGAAGGAAGGAAGGAAGGAAGGAAGGAAGGAAGGAAGGAAGGAAGGAAGGGGGAAAAGAGGGAAAAGGGGGGAAAAGGGGGAAAGAGAGGGAAAGGAGGGGAAAAGAGGAAGGAAAGGAAAGGAGACTAATGTATTCACAGCACCACATTGTGTTCACTGTGAGCTTACTGTGCTTCCCCAAAGACCCTGAGAAGATCAAGAGCCAAGACCTTTTGTTGTGCTTTTGTTGGCATGTTTCTATGCAGAAAAGACAATCATGAGTATTTTCTGCCCATTCACTTCATACCTTGAATGCTCTTGAAAGCGCTGTGCTCGTAACTGGGATGCCACAAACAACGACGATGCTATGGCCAGTAACTGGTTTCTCTCACTCTGTGCTAACGTGTGTCCTGTAGGAAATCAATGCATCAGTCACATCTGTAATGTCAGCATCTGCACTTCCTCTTACAGTCATTAGTCAATCAGACAAGAACTCCACCAGGCATCTATTATGGAGTCAGCATTACACAAGAAGCAGGTGAAAGGGTGTAAGAAAGCTCCATAACAAAGAACCCTGAGCTTTGCTCACTCAAAGCTCACTGCCCAACACAGGGAAAGAGACTTTGTTTTGTTTTCAAAGTTTATTAATTTTCCAACTAGAATTCTCTGGTCAGAGATTTACAAATACCAGAACAATGACATTATTGAAAGCAAGTTTCTAGTTATCATTTAACACTTATTTTTACACAAACCATGATTTAATTTTCAGTGAAAGCTTTTTGTCTAAGCAACTATATTTCAAACTTCTTCATTTATACTGGAGAACAAGAAATTACTGACTTTTCTAAAGCTCTGACTGCATAAAACACCTTTTATTCTTAAAGTTATGAGTAGACAATTCCAAAATTCATAGTCTGGTTACTCTGCAATGTGAACAATAAAGTGTTAAGGGCATATGTACTGAAGGTGGCCAAAATCTCTCTGGAGCAACTAGCAGAAAGGTTGACTGATACATGGTTGATCCCTCCCCTGTACCTTACCACCAGCCCTGTTTATCTGAACTCTGAAGTACATGAAAGTGTTATGTTTATTGAATCTTTTAGAGAAAGAAACTTAACTGTTTAGATAAAAATACCATTGAAATAATGAAACCACGGCATCTGAGCTGGCGCAGGGTTCAGAGCATCCATGGTTCTCGAGAGTCTGTTTCCCAGCACCCAAGTCCAACAGCTCAAAACTCTTACTTTTATTATTTTAAATTATATGTAGGAGTGCGTCTGCATATGTGGGTATGTGCACATGAATGCAGGTGCCCATGTGCAGGTGCCCATGGAGGCCAGAGGCAGTGGGTTCCCTGAAGCTGGAGGTATAAACAGTTATAAGCCACTGAAATGGGTGGTAAGAACTGAACTTGGATCCTCCGGAAGAAGAGCAAGTACTCTTAACTGCTGAACATCTCTCCAGCCCCAGGAAAGAGATTTAAATAGTTACACAGAACCAAACAATAAATGGGAAAGCCAGACACAGAGAGCTCTCTAGGAACCACACCAGCTCCTCACACTTGCTTCTTGTCCTCACTCCCATCCATAAGTTTATTTCTAAGGAGAGTGAGGATAAAAGGCCAAAGTTCCAACCTCTGTAGAAGCAGACTGATGCTAGTCAGGGACATGGACAAGGCCATGTTTTTCTAGCATGAAGGATTCAAAGAAAATAAAGGCATGCTTCTCCTGCCTTTATGTATGTAGTGAGAACTTGAATGCAGATCAACCAACTGATTAGTCAATCAATAAATCAACAAATTTCTCGCCCTCACAATTTATCTCCACACCAAAATTCAGTTGGCCCCAGGGGCAGTGGTCTGGCCCCTGGCCGGCCTCACGTGCCTGACTGCCTTGCAGCAGGTAACTGCTGCACTGGTAGAATTGTTCAGGAGTCAATGGGTATCAAAGCAGGAGTCAGACACTGTAGGGTCTGTAGTTAGCACACCACTTGAGAGCTGAAGCAACCACAGTCCACTGCTAGTCATGTGACAGCAGACAACCACATGGCACAGTAGGTACAACTGGAGTTCTGAGCAAAGAATATCCAGTAGGCACACAAATTTATTTGAAGGAAATAAAGTAGTTAGAACATTATTTCTAAAACTCACTCAGAATAAACTAAAAATACTAAGAATTTAAATACAAATACTTTTCAAGATCTGTAGCACATTCTCTACAAAAAGGTATTCACAAAATAGAAGGGTATGGAAAACCCAAGTGATACATCCCTTTTTGGGACAAATCTCAGACACTGAATGAACTGTAACACAACATGGGAGCTCACACCTGATTCTAGGATTCCAGAGATACCACTCATTAACTCATAAACCACAACCTTGTGGGCCATATCACGTCCCTGATCTTCTCCTGACACCAGAGCAGGGAAGAAAAGGCCCACATAATCCACAGCTATGCACACATTTTATATGAGGTGGATCACAGAAAAGAGACCCAGACATCCCAAAGCAAACACCTAGAAGAAGAATTCTTCAAGTGTGGCTCAGGGATGACTTGGGACCCTAGGAGTCCTGCACAGGCCATCAAGACTAGAGCAATTTTCCTGTTTTCTTTTTATTGACCTTCATTTTCAAGGTGAAGTATTTCTGCATTTCTTCCTGAAGTCTACTAATGGTTCCAGACCCCAGGACACAGAATACATGACGATATCATTGCTCCCATGTCAACACCAAATGGATTTACTACAATTATTTACAAATGAACCAGTGAGTATATTCCAATTCCTCAGTAACATACAAAGATCAGTAGATACATTAAGCTCTTTGGAGCAAAAGAGAACTAATGGTCCTCAGACTTCATGGGATACCCCAGTAGCAGGCTCTGAAATCTATCCTCAGCAGCACACAAAAGAGAGAATATGATAACACATATGCATACTTCATATATTCAATCAAATTCATACAAAAAATCAGTAACTTCCCAAAGGAAAAGAGATAATTCTGATATTGTTTTTAAAGGGGCTTGAAATTAAAGTGTGACAAGGTACTAGAGAAATAAATACAAAATGCTCATATCTGGTCAATTGAAATTATAGTTCTTAAAATAGCTCCTTCATTTTTTCCTTTAGTTTCAAATCAAAGAAAATTTGCTTTTTAATATTCAAATTTAAAAAGTCAACAATTCTTGTGTATCCTATTTTTAAATTTTAGAACCAATCATTTCAAAGTTCAAATCTAAGAACCTTTTGTAAAAGTGCCCTCAGTTACAAATAGATTTGAGAAAATAAACATACATAATAGAAAATCTTAATGCAGTCATAGAGACAGGCACTTGCCTATGAACAGTGCCAAGGAGATCAGGCCAGATGGGAAACAGATGGGTAACCCCACAGGGCATAGCGACCCGGCCCCAAACATATTGAGAAGGTCCTGGACTTGCTTCATTTGCCACTTCCTGATGTCTCTCAGGCACATACATCAAACAGTCAAAGATGATGGCTTAACATAGCTAAGATTTGCTCTGGGGGAAAACTGGGGAAGGTGAAACCACTGTCTGAAGGACAGGAGATGGTGGCCACTCAGAGCCTCAGGGAGTAACATGGGAGTGTTGTGGAATATCACTTTAATTACACAGAGATGTGTTACTTTTGTTTATGCTGTCGAATGTTACTTTCAACTGTGTAAAGGTTGTTACATTTGTTTGTGCTGCAGTTGTTTAATGATGTAAAGATGAGTTGCTTTGCCTGCCTAAGGCACCTGATTGGTCTAATAAAAAGCTGAACAGCCAATAGCTAGGCAGTAGAGGAATAGGCAGAGCTGGCAGGCAGAGAGAATAGGGAAGGGGAGGGGAAGGAAGGGGAGGGAAGGGGAGGGTCAAGAATACTCCAAAAAGCTAATACATTAAGTGGAATAGAAGCAAAGGAACCTTCAGTCATAAAAGAAAAGCTATGTGTTGCAATTAAGAACAAAAATAACCTGACATAACAAACTTCTGAGAACTAAACAGTTCAGCGCATATATATATACACACACATACCTTTGAAGCCATCAGGATACACATCAGAGAGAAATTTGGTGCTGATGTCCCCTTTCACAAAGCGTGTGTTGATTATCACTTCGCGAAGCAAGGGGATGTTGTGCGTAACACCTAAAAATAAAAGTTGAAGCTGAATTGGAGAACAATGAGTCAGGTAACAATCTAACTTTGGGAGGGCTGAGGGAATTGATAAAATGCTTGCCATACAAATGAAAGGACCTCAGTTTCACTCCCATGTGAAAAATGCAGAGGAGAGCTGTGTATGTCAGTGTTGGGCAGAGACAGGAGGATCACTTTCTGGAGCTTGCTGTCCAGGCAGTCTAGTCAAATCAGTGAGCTCTCGGTTAGTGAGAGACCCTGGAGAGCTACTAAGAAAGACACCAACATTGACCTGTGATGTACACACAAACACAAACACACTCTCTGTCTCACTCCCTTTGTCTAAGAATAACTCAATTACTGGTCTCCTTAGCTAATAAAAATATTAAAACAAAAGCAAAGCAAAACCTACCCACTCAGACTCCACTTTCCACCCTTCCTGCAGCTAAGCATGACAACCAATTTCTAAGCAAGGGAATGCAAGTTGAAGTGATGTGTTCAACACCTTTCTTTCATTTCCTCCTCTTCGGGGCTTCCTGATGTGGCAGGAATTTCACTTTGGCAATGTAAATGAAGTAGGTCAAGCCCTAGTCTGTTTATCTGTCTGTATGCATGTTTATCCCCTTAAAAATGTCACTATCTGAAAGGACCAACAAACTCATTACATAAAAGCCAAGTATATTTCCATAGCATCCATACCACTGTATCGAGACAACTTGGTTAGAGCAGGTTATCATGAACACAAAGTTCACATATGAGGACACAGGTTTAGCTTTCTGAAATAACTATCCATCCCTAGGCTAATTAATATTAACAACTTACTATATCCTCCTGGGCATTTTTTCTATGCATCTCTTTATTCTAGACCACATTATCAACCTATATAAACATGTTACCATCTCTGTTTCCAATTCACAAAATACTGCATATCTCCACTGTATAAAATCAAATTCTTAAATCATCCCACCTACCTCAAACACTTATATCAAGTTCCAGAATTCTACTAGGAATGTTATTCCTTTATACAAAAATTCCACAGATGGAGTTATCCTATTTAGAGGGTTGCAAAATAAATAACCTTTGCATTACATGTCTGTGAGAAATGTACCCCTATCCCAACCTTGCTTTGCAAGCAACAATTTAGCTCATAGCCAAAAATTACTGCTTCCAAGGGCTTTATATTAACAGGCAAAGAATACCGAAAATCAACTACATGCCTGAAGCACAGACATATTAGACATATATAAGGACTTTTATTAAACAAACAAATACTTTCACTACAGAGGTAACAGAAGGTCTGTTGTGTCTGATGACGTAACGAATAACCAGTGAAAACAAGGGGACATTTATCTACAAGTAGGCAGCATCTGATAAGATGTTTAGAGAGACAGACAAAGGGGCGCGACTTTACAATCTTCTTGAAATGGGTGGTGATGTGAAAGGAGGATCAGCAACTGGATTGTATATTACAAATGGACAAAATCAAAGCACTTTTAAAAAAGGGATCTCATCTGCCAGAGAGAGGTGCTGTGCATAGGAAATGACCACAACAAGGTTCCTAAGAGAAAGGTGAAGCAAGATGTGGGGATGGAAACTTGAGGTCTGGATCGTAGAAGGAATTTTACCTGTTTTGAGAATTTTTCACATGGCTGGAGAGATGGCTTAGTACTTAAGAACACTTGTTGCTCTTGCAGAAGGTACAGGTTCAATTCCTAGAACCCATATGGTGGCTCACAACCACTCAAAACTCCAGTTCCAGGCAGACTGGTGCCTTCTTCTGACTCCATGAGCACAAGACATATACATGGTGCACATACACACATACATACATACATACATACAAGCAAAACACTCATATATAGAGAATAAAAAGATAATTTTTTAAAAAATCAAAGATTTTCCTTGTTGCACAAAGCAAATGGTTGCCAGGGGGCATTTGTGTGGAGAAGACTGAAAGGAGGGCAATCCAGCCAGAGAGGAGGAGACACAGTCAAATGCAGCTGAAAGGCCAATGCAGCAGTCACGGTCCAACAGGCCCCAGAAAAAAGTCACTGTGCCTTCAGAAAAATGAGAGAGTAGTGGGGAGAAGCAGAGTGAAGCTGGAAGGTCTACACATCACGAGGAGGGAGGGAAGGTGGGAAGCACATCGTTTACAACCGCACAAAGGAAACTGCCCAGGCTGTGCTCCACAGCAAAGGGCTGACAGTGTCTGTGGAGAAAATGAGTGGGACCTGAGAGAGTGATGGATTTAGCCACAATCTGAGTGGCTAGGCTGATGTCGAGGGAAGGATGTGAGTCAGAATGTCCTAATCTCTGGGTCTACAGAGTAACAGAGGCTGCCTCAGCTGACATGGAGAGGACAAGGGGAAAACACTTGTTCCACTCTGAGCAATGCAGGTAGGTGCCTGTGAGAAACAGGCTGGTGCTGTCTGAGGGATTCCCACTCCAGTCCATGACAGGTAAGAGGGTCTCAAGACCTGGCCAGGGCCACCAACAGGAAGGAAGCCAAACAGCAGGAGAAGCAGCAGACTCAGGCAGGATGAAATCAACCCCACACACTGCCACAGGTATTACAATAACCAAAGTGTGCAAGAAATAACACCCTACGGGAGGGACCAACGTCAGAAGACTAAGGTGCAGCAGCAATTTAATTCAAAGAGAGAAAAATGTTTGTTCTTACATAAAAATTAATAACTCAGTTAATCCATTCACAAGACACTCTCCCCAACCTGCTACTGAAATAGTAAATAGGTTAGTGAGACAGTCTAACTCCTATGATTATTGCTCCAGTTAGTAAAATAAAATTAATATTTGCCTACATATGTAATATTTCACAGTTAGCTTTACTGAGTTTTCCTTTACAGCCTAGTCCTGGTAGAGGTTTCTCATCTCTCCATACTGCCAATACCCAAACAGCACAATCTGCCTTCAGCAAATATAACACGGCTTAAAGATGCAGTTTATAATTTGGACAAGATAAAGTTACTTTCTGATACCCAAAATATTGAAATAAATGCAAGTAACAGGGTAAATGCTGCAATGGCATTTCATTCCATATTCATAGTTGAAAAGGGGGTGTTGGTTTTAGAAAAGGTAACCCAAAAGGATTGTGAACAAATATTACTTAAATTCAGGATATTAAACAGCAGAGCCAAATGTGGTGGTATTGTGTTCCCCAAAATATTGTGTACTCTAATAAATTTATCTGGGGTCAGAGAACAGACAGCCACTAGATACAAAGGCTAGAAAATGGTGGCACTCACACCTTTAATCCTAGCATTCCAGAGATAGAAATCCCTCTGGATCTCTGTGAGTTCAAGGCCACATTGGAAATAGCCAAGCATGGTGACACACACCTTTAATCCCAGAAAGCCAGCCTTTAATCCCAGGGAGTGGTGGTAGAAAGCAGGAAGATACATAAGGCGTGAGGACCAGAAACTAGAAGCATTTGGCTGGTTAAGCATTTGGCTGGTTAAGCATTCAGGCTTCTAGCAGCAGTTCAGCTGAGAGCCATTGGGATGAGGACACAGAAGCTTCCAGTCTGAGGAAACAGGACCAGCTGAGGAACTGGCAAGGTGAGATAGCTGTGGCTTGTTCTGTCTCTCTGATCTACCAGCACTGACCCCAATAACTGGCCTCGGGTTTGATTTTATTAATAAGAACTTTTAAGATTCCTGCTACAGCCAAACACACACATGGGCACCTGCACTTCTTACAGTTGACTCTTTCATCCCCTCCCTCTGTCCTCAGGCTCCTGCGGCTTTCCTGTCACGTGTATCCTTTGTACTTCCCCCATCCCCTCAGAACTTCTCTTTACACTCTCTTGTCTCCTTTCTGACTTCACCCACATTTACACCTGTTTATAAACACACACACACACACACACACACACACACACACACACACACACTACAAACTCTACAAACTCGAATGGTCGTGATCATAACAATGAGAAGACAAGGTTGGTGTCTTTCTGAGTCTGGATCACCTTGCTTAATATAATTCTTTCCAACCCCATCCATTTTCCTGAAATTTTCATAATTTCATTTTTTTTTACAACAGAGTAAAATTCCATTGTGTCTATATACCACATTTCCGATACACATTCATCTATTGATGGGCATCTAGGCTGCTTCCATTCTATTGAAGAATTTTTTTTAATCTTTCTACTTGTATAATAAATACAACATGAAAAAGACTTAGATTTCACTAAGTAATGTTTCAAGAATAAAACTGAAACTCAAATACATTTTTCCTTAAAGTTCTCTGAGTAGCATACCACATACTGCTATGTGAAATCAAGTCACCAGCTGTTTTGGTTCTCTAAGGCACACAGTAAAGTAACCCTTTCTTTTCCATGTATGGCTGACAGCACAACTAGCTGCTCCAAGAACTAGTGCTCAGGAACGAATTCTAAAGCCCAAACAGGAATAATCAGGAAACCATTCCGTACATAAAAAGCTCAAAACAGCAGAGGGAAGGAATGATCCATATGAGAGGTACCACTGTGCATTTAGTTTGCTGTCTTTCCATGTCCCAGGAAAGACAATGCCATTTGAGTAAGTCCCTGTATAAACAGTAGGCGGACAGTACAGTATTCTTTCAGAGTTAGTTTATAGCCTCACTAATATTATTAATCACATAATCATAAAAATTATGAGTGAGAGTTTCAGATTGGGAATTGGGGTGACCTGTGCCAGAGTTCACCAGATCCCATCTGCATGGGAAATCATGACCAGGCCACAGAGGGAGGCCTCTGGAGCAGCCTTCTGACTGCCTGCTGGTTCCAAAACAGCAGGCCAGACACTAGCTGTGCACTCCACCAGGATCAAACAGAGGCCGAGGCCACTGCTTCTTTCCTGGGGACTTGGAATTTAAGTTTAATCTAGGTATACTATGCTCTAAAATTTCTCTACTTTCACAAATGTTCAAGTAATTTGGTGGGGCGGCGGGGGTGGGGGTAGGGGGGTGGAATACACATTTACCAATGAAGCAGGTACTTAACAATACAGTAAATTCTTCTTCCTTTCCTGCCCTTTACAAAACAGTTTTAAAACACACCCATCCTTTAGAATTCACCAGGTAAATAAGTAAATATCAAAGGTAATAGTAGGAAGCAGGGAGGGAGCCTTTTATTTTAAAAAACAATAAAAACAACTTATTTTGTAATGATTTCAGAATCTTCAAAAGTTGACAAACTAATACAGATAATTATTGTTCACCCTTGACCCAGGCTCTGAGTCTGTGGTAGTCTCTACGCATAGACCACAGACCACACACACCATTTTCTAATGTAAACACTTGAAGGTAAGCTGAAGACAGGACAGCCTCCAAATATCATCCTGTATATTTCCTAAGAAAAGTTTCTTCTGCAAACAAGTGTCTATCTAAACTACAGACATTACTCAAACTTCCCCAGCTGTCCTACTTACGACTTTTACTACAAAGGAAAGCCTTTTTCCTGGTCCAGGATCTAGTGCAAAACCCCTTGCACTGGCTGGTCTGTGCCTCTGGTTTGCTTTGATCTAGATAAGCTGCTGCCTTCTCTTTGTGTTTATTGACCTTGACACCTTTGAAGATCAGAAGCCATTTATTTTGTTGATTGTCTTTCAGGTTGGTATGTCTGGTGTTTCCTCATGATTATATTCAGTCTACCCATTTTCAATCGTGTGCCTGCATGCATGTGTGTGTGGGTGTGTGGGTGTGCATGTGTGTCACTAATGATAACAAGAGGAGCAGGACAGGAGTGAGCCCTGGCTGCTGGGTAAAGTTGCAATCATGAAGCAGTTCCCATGTTGCTTATTAAGTGTATTATGGAGGGGTGCCAAGAAATTATGAAAAGAGTTGTTTCTCTATTTTCCCCATTAACTTCAGCATCTACTGATTTTCTTATGTTTTATATTCTCAATAAAGTGTTTTTTCTACATCTATTGGTTTAAAATCTATGTGAAGGAGCCATGCCATCTCCTTCATTTATCCAACCCAAATATTTCCAGCTCCTGACTCTCACTTCAGCTACAGGCTGTAAGCCACTGCTGGCACTACTTCCTGTGTGGCAGACTCTGAGTTTGACCAGTGGAGGCCTCTTCAAGCAGCTCCTGTGTCTTCCTACTAGATCTGCTTTTGAGGTTTTCCTTGGTTTGTTTGTTTTACAGTTTATACAGGGTGTCACACTGTAGCCAAAACTGGCCTGGAACTGTCACACACCAATCCTCCTGCCTCAGCCTACCAAGTAAGTGGAGTCCAGGTGAGTGCTGGGATGACAGGTGTGGATCTCGCCTGTCCTGACTGCACTTTTCCAGCACAGCTTCCCCTCTTACATGGGCAGTTCAGGCTCATCTTATGCTCTTCCTGAAGCCAAGCCTGGACACATTTAGTAAACTGAGTGGACAGAAGCCAAGCACACGAACAAGCACACTCTATACAGGACTGTCATCCTACAACAGTTGCTGTCCCCAAAGTGCCAACAGTGCCCAAATTCAGACCCTTCAGCTAGAATGTACATATGGTGTGTGTATACATGGGTACATACACACACATGCACACACCTTTACATAGTCCTCAGTTTATATTAAAGCCCAAGAGTTCTCACGGATACCTTCAGACTCAACTTCATACCACACACAGGGTTCTTTCCACCCCAGGCATTCATTCCCACATCTGTTACTGCCTCTCTGACAAGAAGAAACTTGGTTCTTATTATCCACAATACATGTATTTATTTCCTCAATTCCAGAATGTACATAAATTCGTTTCAGACCTGCTAAAGCATCAACTATGAAAAATAAACATACTAATTAGAGTTTAATATTTATCTAGACATATTTTCTCTTTAGCCTAGGGATATGTATAGTAAATACACAGCTTATTTGGGTTAGTTCTCCCCACACTCTCACCCTTCTGCAGGATTGTATGACTCATCTGAAATGTGTCCCATTAGCTGTTAGTATTCCATTTTGAGTCTTACTTACGAAACACTAATTAGTCCAGTTTCAAAAATAGTCACATTCATAGTCACAGAGTCTCTACCTTTATCTCATTTACTTGTTTCCAATCCCCTACTCATTTCTACCATACCCACCCCACTTCCTGCCGATCTTGTATCTCTATTCAGATGTCTGTTTGTACACATATATGTGTGTACCTACAGAGGCCAGAAGAGGACATCAGTCCCCTGGAGCTTGAGTTGTGAGTGGCTGTGAGCCACCTGATGTAGATGCTGAACCCAAACTCGGGTCCCCTGGAAGAGCAGAGGCCAAAAATGATCCAGCACCCAGGCTTGCCTAGTGGATGTTCTTAGACTCTCACTGGCCATTCAAAATTATAATGTACACTTGAATCTGATCGCAAAGCTTTTTTCATTACTAACACAAAGTTGGTACTGATATTTAGTATATAATTTTCTCCTCAAAGTGGGTAAGAATAACCACTTTACAGACTCAAGTACAAGAGCAGCTTCTGTTTCAGGCAGCACCTTACTCAGAAACGAGGACAGAGACCCAGGGAAGAAAACTGCACTTTCCAGCAAACTACCTACCTCTTCTCCACGCAGAAGCCAAGAGCTGTTCTCCCAGACTCCGAATTAATCAAATGTAAGGAAGGCCCTGTGTCCATTTGCACATGTCTGTAAGCTTCCTACTTCCAACCCAAAAACTCACAGACAGTGACACAGCAAACTCGCTCTCCAACTATGCGGGACAACGGTTCCTCACAGTCTCTCGTACTATATCAAGTATACAAGTAAGAGATACCATGAGTCCTTCAGAGGAATGAGCTATGTCCCATGTTCAGTTAAATAACTTGGACTGCAGAGAGCCAAACACCTGTGCCTGGTGTCAATGTTCAACTTGTTCATACTTTTCTCATCTTCATTTAAGTACAGTAAGCAATTATTTTGTGGAATTCCCTAAGTACAAAGCCTCATGCTGTTCACTAGACCGGATGCCACACATAGTAACAGAACAGCAAATGTGTACATTTTACCTCGGATCACATAATTATCCAGTGCGTCTTCCATCCTCTTCAGTGCTTCCGCTCTATCAGACCCATATGTGATTAGCTACAAGCAAGCAAACAAAACTGTATAAAGAGCCAGCCACACACAGTGACGAGGACATGTAAAGGTTTTTATTTCCAAACACATTCACCAATGTGTCTTTTCAATTTTCAAATACAAAATGACAATTAAGATTTCTTTGAATAAACAAATGAGAACCAACCCATCTCAGATGTTTCCATGACATGTCATTGTCATAGTAAAGAAAGATTTGAAAACTGGAAACAAGCACAGAAGAAAGATGGAGGAGAGGAGGGAACAGAGCCTGAAGAACTGACCCAGCCCCGAAGCACATGGCACAGTGTGGGGCTAGGGATGAAGTCTCTAATATCCCTGGTTTTCTAGGCTTCCAAGTTTGATTTCCTAAACAACTAAAACTTTTGTAACTTTCAAAAGAGCCAGTATGAAAGTGAAAGAAAAGGCTAGACTGTGCTTAAAATTCCGTCTCCCACAGCCTAACACAAAAGCTGAAGGTGCTGGCTGAAACAAGGAGGGCCATTTTTCTGCATGAATCTATGTCTTTTTATATGGAATCTCTAAAATTTAAAAAAATAAGACCTTGACAACATATATTAAGTCTTTTTTAATGCATATCAACAAATTATAGGCTGTAATTATTTTAGTAAATTTTATACACTCTTTAATATAAACCCAGTTTGCCACATGGTGACATATACCTTTAAGGCCAGCACTTGGGAGGCAGAAGCAGACAGATCTCTGTGAGTTTGAAGCCAGTCTGGTTTACAAAGCATGTTCCAGGTCATTCAGCTACATAGTGAGACACTGTCTCAGAAAAAAAATAATAAATAAATTTTACACATATAATTCATCTAGAAAATTTGTAGGGCACTTTTCTGAATGGAAGAACATTCATCTAAAAAAGAAACAGCAAGTTTGAAAATCAGTTTGTAATATTTTGTGTATTTTTACTTTCAAAGTGTGTTTCTCTAACAATTAAAGCATCTAAGATTTCTTTTAAGAATATTAATGGTAAAAATAAGTGAAAAAATTGTGTGGCTTGTTTCTTCAGCAACAACTACACAAGAAAGCACTTGGGGACCAGAGGTGTGGGTTCATGGCAGAGTGCTGGGCAAACCTACATGATCCTCGTTTGATCCCCAGCACAAAACTAAAAGAAAACCTGAAGATAATCAGTCCTTGAGATAAAGTTATTGTTTCAGAGACAAGGAGTTCTTAAATAAAATCCAAAGTTTATACATTGCAACATTTTACAATTTATGAAGTCTTAAGATTTTAGAAGTCTATGATTTTTTTTACTTTACTCTGCTAAGTTAAAGTTTAAAAAGACACATAGGCCAATCTTATGGTACACTTTTCTATAAAAGTTAGCTGGGTCAGGTGGTGACTTGGTGGTAGGGAACCTGACTGGGACGCACCAAACTCTGGGGTCCAGCCATAGTGTAAACAACCAAAGTCAAATCCACTCAAGCTGTCATTTAGAAAACCTTCCAAGGTCAAGAGCACTCTTAACAAATACAGCCTACAGGCCCAGTCCTCCACAGAACCTGCCACTTACATCACCCTCTTTTGGAAGGGCAAACCAACCTAATTCCTTTCATTGCAGCAGGCCGAGCTGCCATTGGCTAAAATGGGTGCTGTGCACATGCACCGAGCAGTGCTGGTGGCCATGTGACCCTATGGCTCAGGGGGCCCTACAGAGCCATGAGAGCACTGCTCTCACTTTCATATCCTGTTCTCTGGTTTGTTTAACTACAGCACATTGCTAAGAAAAAGGCTCAACTTCTGATTCCTTGATTCAATATGTGTACTGTTTCAAAGAAAATAAAGAAATGGAACTAACTTTTGATATCATAGGGTCATAATAGATGCTGATATCACTTCCTGGTTGGATGCCACTGTCAACTCGAACCTGAGAAAGAAAAGAAAAAGTACATAACTTCATATTGGGCAGATTGGTTTCATTTAACCACACGCTATTTTTTCCATGGAGAAAAGGGATAATAAAGTTTCAGTCTCAACATCCCTGCCTCTGGAAAACAACCCAGACACATAATGATATTTATCTCTTAATATACACTATGGCATACAACTTTTGTTCTTTCACTTAAAAAAAGAAACTGGAAGGAGGGAGGCTTCATACATCCCTATGCTGGGGTGCACCTGCTACTGGCTGCAGCATGTTGGGATGATGCCCCACTAAAGCCCCCTCCCTCAGAGAGCACTGGGGAGGAGGCCATAGCTGTACCTCTGAGCCATAGGAACTGGTCAGGCTTTCAAGTCTGCAAAGCTTTTCCTCTTTTGCCTCATCTCCTCTATTCATCTCCTGAATGCTATTTTCTGATACTTTTGGTCCCCAGAGGCCTTGTGTTTACACAGCTTTCCACAAGGCTCTGTTCTATGAGGATGCAAGCCCCAATTAGAGTTTGGATTCTGCACTTTTCATCTTGGGCAGGACCAGCGCAGGTTCAAATATCCTTTTGAAGCCCCTGGCTGCTGCTCACCAGCCCACAAGTTAGTTAGTGCGTCACTGACTCGGGTCTTCCTCTCCCAGCCTGACGCCAGCAGCACAGCAGAGGTGGCCATGTAAAGCTCTGAATGAGCATCTGCCAAGGACAGGGCATTCATTAGATTCATTGTGACCAAGTTTTGGATCTGAAGGATTTAGATGCTAATCAAAATATTTAAAACTGGGAGGCATCATATCCTAGGGCTTAGGACGGAAGAGTTTAATCGAAACTTCCAAAACAGCAGGACGGTAGTGCCCAACATTGTGAGGGGTGGGAAGAGAAGACAGGAAGCTCTGTCACTGTGAGAAGGAGGCTTTCCAATAAACAGCAGTGCATCTGACTGTGGCAAGGCAGGAAAAGGTCAACGCAGCGGCTGGTAGGCCTTTAATATTTTAATTTAGGCAATTATCAAGGGACCGCACATAGAACCTCTTGTCTAGAATATCCACATGAGGGTAGGTGATGGCTTTATTACAAGACATTAGAAGATAAGTGAAAAAAATCACATCACTCTTCTCTTTTTAAAGAGAAAGCTGGAACATGCCCAGGGCCTCTTATTTCTGTATGTGCAGCACAAGCAGCAATTTGGGTCCATGTACCCCACATTCCAAATGATTCTTAAAGTGAAGGCCACTCCACATTCGCACAAGACGTGCGCGGCCTTTATATGCTGAAAACATACTTCAGGGCATAAATTCTATAAAATTTGGTGTTTGTTTGGGAAATGGGAAAGAAGTAATAGGGCGACCGTGAAAGCGATAAAGTTTTCGTGTGCTTTCTCTCAGCATTTAAATGGCCACTGTAACCAGGTTAAGAAAAACGATGTCGTTTTTTATTAGTCTGGGTGCCAATAAGCCAGAACTGCTCTGGCCAGCTTGTCAGCTTTACACCCACAGCACATTGCCAAAGCTTGTTTGACACCAGGATTGTTGCAGGTCTGAGGCTCTGACTTTCAGTACATCTTGTCATCTGCTGCACAGCTCATGTCCAACCCACTGGTAAAATACTACAAGCAATAAGGAATATTATTGTATTCCTCTGCAGTTCATAACATAGTTTTCATCATCTTAAATAATACCACCCTAAAAGCTAAATAACCTATCCATGGCTACTAGATATAACTGTCTTTGTTGTTCACTAAAATAATTACAGGAATTTGTCACTTTAAACCCACAGGGTAAAATAAAAATGTATCATATACAATCAGCACATGCAAGCAGATCAACATTTCCAAGGAAACTGTACAAAGCAAAAAAGAAACCTGACTTTTAACTTATTGTTTATATAGGTTCTCCCAAAAAATAGCCAACTACATATCTTACTTCTAACAACCAATTAAAAACAAATTTGGTGCCTATTCATCCATGAAAACAAAGCTTACATAAATTTTCACTGACTTTCACTTCAAGAATAGAGTCAAATGTATCTCTAAGCAGACAATCAAAGACTACAAGGAAAAGCCTCAGCTCTGCTCTAACAATGTGTTTCAGGCTTAAAGAAGCATGTGAAAGGTGTGAACTAAAAGTTAACTCTGAAGTATTTGCTCCTTCTTGTGACCAAAAAACCTAAGAGCCAAAACTGGCTTCCTGAGTGAAGCTGAGACATCCAGTAAAGCAAAGAGAAGAGGGCCACACTACAAACACTCATGCACCCCAAGTGTGAGGTTCTCAAGTCAGTCCTTAAGCGGTGTCTAAAATTGCTTTCGTCAGCCAAATAGTGGATCCTAGAAACTATCAGGCATGTCCCACCCTTCATTCTCAACTCACCTCCCCCCCAGCACAACTCCCAGCCCGCCATGCCTACCTGACAAGTGACAGCCCAATCTGATTAAATGCTTCTAAGGGAGGGGACTCATGGGCTTCCATGACAGGCCAAAAGTGATCACCATGGAGATACATAATTACAGCTGTCAACGCATCTACTGTCCTGCTGACATCAATTTGATTGCTCCCAGCAATAATGATAGACAAAGCTTAGTGCGCACTCTCCTGCCCCCAATCTCTTCATCTATTCCTTGGTCCATTTAGCTGACATGCAACATTCACACACGCAAATAACAGCAGTAAGCAGAACATTTAAGGCATTTTAATTGTTTTTTCTTTCTATGGATGGATCACAACTGCAAATGTTATTACATAAAACTCCTGCTGCAGCATTAATTGAAGAAAGATTTGGTGGGACAAAGACTGTAGGGGGTAGAGTTTGTCCATTATCACTTGTACTTTCAACAGGTCTCACGTTTGAAAATTGCAAATTGCAAAAACTTGAGAGGGCAAAATGTTTGACATTCTGTGAGCTATTACAACATGGTGGAAACTTCTAACAACTAGAGTAATCATTACGCTTCTTATTTAAGACTTTTTTGTTTGATTAAAAAAGTATTTAGATATGTCCCTATGACATTTGCTCTCATGTGCTATTTAGCATCACATAATGCCTATTCAATCTTTACAATTTTTTTCTGCCTCCACGCTTTGAACACAGCATGGAGTCTCTAGGCCTAGAAGGGGTCAAATCCCTTTAGAAAGCACATGGGCAAAAACAGTTTAAAAGTGAAATAAATCATATATCCAATAACATCTTCAAATTTAGAATTCTTCCTGTAATCTTTCACCATCTTCTTACCACCCATCACACTGAACAATCATGTCCACAGATGCTGCTGTCCTGTCACCCACTAACATTACGTCATCTATGCATGCACTTAGTGCCTTGATTAAGAGAGAAGGTACCTCCCTTGTTCTTTTCATGCATCCAAATTGCTTAAAGGACATGAAACAGACCAACTATGGGATAAAATGAATGCTGGTCACTTTTTCCTTAAAGCTGGTGATGCCACACAGAAGGAGTTACTTTGTTCTCCTTAATAAAGTCCTGCTGATGGGCTGATTTTGTGCTTGAATTTCTTGACATCTGACTACAACAGGGGGCTGGATTAGGCTGGTTTTTTTTTTTTAAGATTATATTTTTAACACAAAAAAGTCATTTCCCATTCTTATGATACTATAATCTTTACAGTATAAACTATCATTTATATGATTAGATGTGTTTGAACTTACCCTGTTGAGTAGATTCTGATGTTTCTGAATACCATAAAGTACAAAAAATATTTTTTTAACACAAAAACTGACTCCCCATGAATTTCCCTGTCCCTCAATTTACACCCTTTGGTGTTGACATGCTCTAACATAAAAGTGTGGCATAAATCAAGGTCTGAGCCCCTCAGCTGGTATCACAGTTAATGACTTACACCAGGTAGATGTATCGGCTCTTGGTACTGAGACAGTCTCCCAACAGACGGTAAACCGAAAGACTTGTAGGGGTCCTGGAGGTTCAAAGGAAAGGAAGCATAGTCTTTGAAACATAAACCAGCACGAGGAAGGTTAACTACAATGAAGAGTATTTATAGGTCTATTTTTAACATACAGTATTTACCAATCCACAGATTCCAGAGTATGAATGTCTCATCCTCTAGACAACTTCCAAGTATATTTAAAACTCAAACAGAACTGCAAGCAGAGTTTAGCCTGACCTCTATCATACTTTATTGAAGTTGGTAAAATTCCAACTTTTCCTTAAACTTCTTAGAATGCCTTAGGCAAAAAATAAAATGACCTAGACTCTCCATCAAAATGTAACTCAAGTTCAGAACAACAAATGCAACACACCAAAGAGATTTGTTTTTCTTACTTCTCCAAACAGCTCACATATGGTAAAGTTGAGAAGCTGAGTTCTTCCAGCAAAGACTCAGAAAAAAGCTGCACGGGCTTCTACACGTATACATGTTCCACTCATAAACATCATGGAGAACAGAACTGAGGAGTTTGGGGTCACAACTTCACATATGACCAAGAGCAGTAACACCAGGATAAAGCATAGTGCATCTTAAAGACATCACTAACTCACTGCTGTACATTAAAAGATCATTTTTGCATCTAAAAGATACAAATATTTATGTTGCATTCTTCAGTCATCTGAAGAAAGCATCTTCAGGTACTGAATAATCTGATATCTGATTTGTATCAACTGCCAGACTAAGACTTTGGCAAAACCGGTAATTAAAATTATGAATCAAGAGTACATGCTTTACCAAAAGCTTTGCAATTTAGATCCCTTCCATGGAATCATAAAGGACAAAATCAACAACACTCAGCCAAGGCTCTGCTGCCTCTCAACACATTGCTATCGACTTTCCCACCCAGAAAAACAGGAGCATTACTTGAACTTCATTCTGTTTTTAATTGTTTCAAATTACCTAGTGTTCTGCTTTGACCACAGGTTCTCAAACCCTGACTCCGCCTGCAGTTCAGCCACACTGGCTGCTTCCCCTTGGACATAACCACCCTCCTGCCTCCCATCAGAACGCATTTTACCTCAGCATAAACCCGACATTCAATTGCCCAGCCACTGAGGGGAATATCCGCTTGCTTGTGCCTGAGAGGGTAACCCTTAGCAACACGGATCATTTCTTGGACTAAGTCCAGGCCGGTAATGCATTCTGTGACAGGATGCTCAACCTGTAAGGCCAAGACTGCCAGTTAATAGATGAAGAAAGAGGCAAATAAATGGACATCAAAAATGAAAATTCCAAGTTTCAGAGACAAGTGAAGTTAATTCTATTTAACCTTTAGTAATAACTGACTAAAAATGTTCAGTGAAATACATAAGATGAAAGAATAAACACAATTCTCTATAGATGACGGTCAGAATAGCCCCGAAAGCATTTGTAAGCCTTTCTGTTACTTTTCCCTATTTTGATTCATTTGTGGCCCAACCCTTAACAATTTAACTCTGCATTTCCTTTGCTGTAGCTCTCAACATGGCTGACAGTCAGCCCCTTCTGCTACACTTGCCATGGCATGTGTGAGGAGGCTGCTGGTGTTCTCAAACCCTCATCTAGTCTGAGTTGTACCTACTTGCATGCTTTCACTAACCTGTCCTGACAAGCAGCAAGATTAGCGTGATCTTGCATCAGTGCAGCGTGGCAGGAAGCAGCAGATGGAGCCTTCAGGTTGCCTTCCCTCCAGACAGGCTTGGGCAGTGCTTAGCATGCACAATAGCAAAACAGGGTGAGGGAAACCACTCTGCTTTCTCAGCAGACTGCTGATAACTACTTCAGCTGATGCTGCCAGGGGAGTGCCTGGCCTTCCACACCAACACATGGGATACATATGTGCAAACACATGCAACTGACGTGCAGCCACGTGAACAGAGACACATCATTATAATTTGATTGATTATTTGCTTACAAATCTTTAAACTTGGGTTAAAATAAAGCCATTTATACCACTGAAAAAGAACATGTAATCTTTCATCTAGAATCTCAAATCAGTTCTAAAATTTTAAGGAAAGTTTCAGCCATATTTACTACTTTGATACCAATTTTTCCTTGTAAAAATTAAGTTCTAGATATATGTCACAATAATTTCTTTATCATGACATGTCACATTTCATACGTGGACACAGGAAAAGGTCACTGAACAAGCGAATTATCTTCTGGCTTCGACTGCACTAATTGAAGGACAGGGCTTAGTCATTACAATAATCTTGAGGCTTATCATAAGCAGACAAAGCCATGGTCTTAAAAAAAAAAAAAGCTTGGTAAAAATAAACAGATGGCATCCATAATTAGCTCTGTGTGTGTTATGAGTTTGTTTACAGTTTCAACAACATTTTAAGACATTTTGACATAATTTTAATGACAAATCATTGCTAAAATAAGCATCTACCCTTTGTAAAATAAATGTGACACTAAATAAAGATCTTATTAGAGAGTTTAATGCATATATATTTTAAATCAAATTATAATTTGGGAGAAACAATATTCTACAAGAAACAAGTGTAAAACCCTTCTGTTAATGCTCAATACCAATTTCACGCGAAAAAGCATCTCAGCATTCTTAACTATTCAAAATGTAAACCTACTATGTGCCAAACCATAGTGTTTACATAACCTTGTTCAAAATAAGTTTTAATTAAGTGAAAGATTCAATTTTCTCTTTGTATGACCAGTAACCCAAAAGTATTATATAATACAGAGAGACTAGACTGAACAGAAGCTAGGAAGCATGGTCAAGTTAGTGAGTGTTAAAACTCTAGGGAGACAGAAATAAATAAATGAAATATTTACAGAATTTTAGGGAATCTCCCTATGAGCTACTTCACTGATGACAAAAGGAAGCACAGTGACTGCACAGTATGGAAAGGATGGACGTCCTACCTCCACACAACCTACATCGCCAGGAATGGGGCAAAGAGACTCATGACAGGGTACATGGTGCTCACAGAAGCAACCACACTGGTGCAGTCCTCCAAAAGTCCTAGGCTGCATCTACTTATAAGAAAACATGCAAACTCCAAATAAAGAATGTGCTATTTTAAAAAATGGACTACACTTTTTAAAAGGGTGAAGATCATAAATGACCAAAAGACCATGGGATTGTTCCAGATTAAGAGTGATGAGAGAGCTGAATGTGGGAACACAGGCCTGTGATCCCAGCACTTAAGAAGCAGAGGCAGGAAGATCCCAAGTTCAATGCCAGCTTGGGTACACTGGGAGACACAATCTCAATAAATAAATAAATAAATAAATAAATAAATAAATAAATAAATAAATAAATAAATAAATAAATAAATAAATAAATCAGGTAAAAGTTAAAAAAAAAATTATGTGTAGCATACAACCCTGATCTAGAAATTTTCTCCTACTGTTGCAAGCATCAGTGAGGCCTCTGGCAAAACAGTAAGTCCTAGGCACAGACTGGATAACAGTAATGTGTCAGTACCACCATCCTGATTTGGGGTTCTGTGGTGATGGGAAAAATATCTCATGGTTCTAGGAAATAACATTTAGGAATGGTGGGACATAAGGTCTAAAATTTTACTCAGAAAATTCCTATGGTAAAAAAATATACATGTAACTCTGCACATGAACTTACAGAGAGGGCAAGCGTGATGGGGCCAAGTGACAGGAACTCAGCCCTTCCACTTCCCCACCTTTATTCCAAGTCAGAAATCATTTGGAAATTTAAAAAAAAAAAAAAAAAACTTAAGTAAACATAAAAGTCACTTTAAAGGCTTTGTATTTTCTTATGATAAAACATGGTTAAAATAGCAATATCTGGCTAGACCAACATGTGTTGCTCATCAGGGAATCCTGAAGCAGCTATGACAGCCACCCATTCATTCTGTTACTCCCTGACCCAAACTTCTCAGAGTTTACTCTGAATTTACCTAACAGTTGCTAAAACATTTTTAAAACTAGGTAACTACATAAGCAGGCCTTCCTTATGAGGAGAAGAACTTGGACAAACTAATTGCACATGTGAGCATGTTAACAGCAAGAGGATCCTGGTATAGATTACAGAGGATTTACTCAGCCACTGTACAGAGAGAGTGATGAGAACAAGAATCCATGTTTCCTGAACAGATGGATATTTGACTCCAAGTGTTTGAGAGCTAGCAATCTCATGGCCCAAAGTATAAAGTCCAGCATTCAAAATCATGAATGGCATGTTGAAATGTGCAAAATTCCTCAATAAGGGAATAAGTCTTCCTCAAGACCCAGCTATACCACTCTTGGACATATACCCAAGCAATGCTCAATCATACCACAAGGACACATGCTCAACTATGTTCATAGCAGCATTATTCGTAATAGCCAGAACCTGGAAACAACCTAGATGCCCCTCGATTGAAGAATGGATAAAGAAAATGTGGCATGTATACACAATGGAGTACTACTCAGCAGTGAAAAACAATGATATGAAATTTGCAGGCAAATGGATGGAACTAGAAAATATCATCTTGAGTGAGGTAATCCAGACTCAGAAGGACAAACATTATATGTACTCACTCATAAGTGGATACTAGATGTGAGGGAAGGGATGGCCAGACTGCAACCTACAGCTCCAGAGAGGCTAGCTAACAGGGAAAGACCCTAGGAGGGACACATGGATGACCCAGCAAAGGAGAAGTGGATGAGATCTACATGAGTGGACTGGGTGTGAGGGGGGTGGCAGAGGGCGAGAAGTGGGTGATGAGAACAGAGGGAAATGGGAGGGTCAAACTGGAACAGGGACAGAGTGGGAGGGCAGCGAGGGAGATACCATGATAGAAGAGGACATCATGGGGATAGGAAGAGGCAGGGTGCTGGGGAGGCTCTCAGGAATCCACAAGGATGACCCCACCTTGGTCTGATGTCAGTGGTCCAGAGGGTGCCTGGACTAGTCTACTCTGGTGACCGGTCTAGCGAATAACCTAGCTGTCATCATAAAGCCTTTGTCCAGTGACTGATGGAGGCAGATGCAGAGACCCACAGCCAGGCACCAGGCTGAGCTCTGGTAATCCAATTGATGAGAGAGAGAGAGAGAGGAGGGATTCTGCAGGTGGGGGATGTTGAGATCATGATGGGAGGAGATGACTGGCCACACTAGTGGAAGCCCATAAACTGTGGACTGGTGGCTGTGGAGCCTTCATGGGACTGGACTAGACCCTCTGGATACGGAAGATGATTGTTTGGCTTGAACTGTTTGGGGGGGACCCAGGCAGGGGGATCGGGATCCATCCCTGGTGCATGGGCAGGCTTTTGGGAATCCTGTGCCTGTGGTGTGATGCCTTGTGCAGCCTTGGTGCAGTGGGAAGGGGCTTGGACCTGCCTAGGGTCAGTGTGCCGGGCTCTGCTGACTCCCTATGGGAGACCTTGATTTGGGGGATGTGGGGATGTGGGGTGGCTTGGGAGAGAGGGATGGGGGTGGGAGGAGGGAAGAGATGGAATCTGTGGGTGGTATGTAGAGTGAGTAGAAAATTTCTTAATAAAGAAAAATGGGAAGAAAAAAAAAAGAACACACTTATTCAAAACTCCACCAACATTTCCAAAAGAGATGCCTAAGAGGAGAGGTACAAATATGGTACAAATTTTTAATCTCTAAATAATAACATTTTAAATGAGCATGTTTTGCTGATATCTTTAGTAAACATATTGAGCATGAATGGACAGGTATTAGATAAAGATAGCCTGTGAGTCAGCCATGCCTTGGATAGGATATGAATATGAATATCCTAGGGATAGACATGATAACCCACTAAAACAGGTGGAATTTGTCCTCAAATACATGATAGAGTTTAATCACTGTGCCTGGTGCTATAGGTCTCTGTCTCTTCACTTGCTGCTGTTCCCATCTAGAAGGATAATAATGCCATGTTTTTGGTTCTGCTCTCTAGGTGCAGAAAGACTCTTTGTCTAGAGCAGGATCTAACATGTGCCCATTAAAATTCTGAAGGCCTTCTTCCTGGGAATACGGGGTTTCAAAAAAAAAAGACCCAAAGCTATTAGACTTTTGATCCACAGGAATGAAGGATAAAAGCACATTGAGGGAGGCCTCAGCACATGACTCCTGCAAACTTACCTTGAAAATAATAGCTACATTCAAGAGAAGCTGCACAAACTTAGGCTCCATCACGGAGTGTTCCTTGTAACCAGAATCTTTAAAGGTCTTATTAATAAATTTAAAAAAAA